CGCACACTAATGGAGATGACTCGAAGTATCTTGAAAGCGATGGGTGTTCCTAACTACTTATGGGGAGAGGCTGTGCGTCACGCAACCTACTTGATTAATAGAGTTCCAACCAGAGCTTTAAAAAATCAAACACCCTACGAAAGCTTAAGAGGCAAGAAACCGATGCTGTCTCACATAAGAGTGTTTGGATGTATGGCGCATGCTAAGATAGATTCTGGCCAGCTTAGGAAGTTAGATGATCGATCACAGGCTTTGGTTCATCTAGGGATAGAACCTGGATCCAAAGCTTACCGTCTCTACAATCCAACATCAAGGAAAATTGTGGTAAGCCGGGATGTAATATTTGATGAGGAGACACGCTGGAATTGGAAGGGAGATGGAGAAGACTCTCAAACGAACCCTGGTATGTTCAAGATGACTTGGGAAACCACAGAAGACAATGGTAGTGGTCCATATGTAGTCAGCACTCGTCAATAAACTGAAGATAATGAAGGAGACAATGAGATTGCAGAGACATAAATTGCAGAACCGGAAACTGAAGATACCGAAACTGTAGAAACAGAACATGATGAAGAACAAGTTCAGGAACAAGGGGTGAGAAGATCGTCACGTCAATCACAACCTCCAGCCTATCTCAAAGACTATGTCCTACTTGCAGACTTAGAATGTGAGATGCTTCTATTAACGCTTAACGATGAGCCTATGAACCTACAAGAAGCTCTCAAAGATAAGCGATGGAAACTTGCGTGCGTGGACGAGATCAATTCCATATACAAGAATGAAACATGGGTCTTGGTTGAGAAGCCACAAGGTGTGAAGGTAATAGGCCTAAAGTGGATCTTTAAGATCAAAAGAAACGCAGACGGAAGCATTAACAAATTCAAGTCAAGACTTGTCGCAAAGGGCTATGTTCAAGAACACGGAATTGATTTCGAAACTCTGCTAATAGGTCTTGCTGCATCTAATAGTTGGGAAATTCATCACCTCGATGTCAAAACGGCGTTTTTACACGGAGAGTTGATTGAAGAAGTATATGTTTCACAACCAGAAGGGTTTGAAAAGAAGGGAGAAGAACACAAAGTTTTCAAACTCAACAAAGCTTTGTATGGATTACGACAGGCTCCTAGGACATGGAACACTAAACTCGACCGCATCTTAAAGAGTCTGAAGTTTGAACGGTGCTGCAAAGAAAACTCAGTCTACCGAAAGAAAGAAAAGAACAAGCTTCTACTAGTAGCTGTCTATGTCGATGATCTATTTGTGACTGGTGATTCAGTTTCAGTGATCAACGAGTTCAAGAAAGCAATGTCAGGCGAATTTGAAATGTCCGATCTTGGTAAACTTACTTATTACCTTGGTATCGAAGTTACTCAAGATTCAAAGGGAATTCAAATTCAACAAACAGCCTATGCGCGCCAAATCCTAAAGGATGCAGGTATGGATAAAAGTAATGCTACCTTAATTCCTATGGAATTTGGCCTAAAGATCTCCAAAGCAATCGAAGAACAAGAAGTTGATGCTACTCTCTATAGGCGAAGGATTGGTTGTCNCAGGTATGGATAAAAGTAATGCTACCTTAATTCCTATGGAATTTGGCCTAAAGATCTCCAAAGCAATCGAAGAACAAGAAGTTGATGCTACTCTCTATAGGCGAAGGATTGGTTGTCTAAGATATCTACTCCACACTAGACCGGATCTCACCTTCTCTGTGGGAATACTCAGCAGATACATGAACTCACCACGTAAGTGTCATGATGATGCATTACGTCAAGTGTTAAGGTATCTACGAGGAACACTCGAGTTCGGTTTAAGGTTTAAAGCAAAGGGATCAAAGACACTAATTGGTTATAGCGACAGTAGCCATAACACCGACCTAGACGACGGCAAGAGCACAACAGGTTACTTATTCTGTCTAGGAGACACGCCAGTGACATGGTGTTCTCAAAAGCAAGAGACAGTAGCTCTCTCATCTTGTGAGGCTGAATTCATGGCAGCAACCGAAGCAGCAAAACAAGCTATTTGGCTACAAGATTTGATGAGTGAGATAACCGGAGAAGAGGTAAAGAAGATGCTAATCAGAGTAGACAACAAGTCAGCTATTGCGTTAGCTAAGAATCCAGTGTTTCACCGTCGAAGTAAACACATTCACAAAAGATATCACTTCATACGTGAATGCATTGAAAGGAACTTACTCGACGTTGATCATGTACCGGGGAATGAACAGCTAGCAGATATATTGACAAAAGCCTTGGCGAAAATCAAGTTTCAAGAAATGAGGAAGAAGATTCGAGTTCTCAACTTAAGCAAAGATGATATGAAGCTTAAGGGGGAGAATGTTGGATAAGCTTCAATAATAGCTTAGGAAACAAGTTATCCATAAAAAGGAAAGATGGATAACTAAAGTCTATTAGATTTAGGATTAAGTTAAGTTTCCTAGATCATGTTGTAATAGGAAAAGTTAAGAGTTCTATTACCTATATAAGGAGAGCTCAATGTAAGATGATCTCCACAAGAAAGAAAAGAAAGCTAAGAAAAGATTAATAAGACAAAGCAAGAGTTCTTAACTTTTCCTATTAGATGCAGCAAGACCTATTAGCAGACTTAAAACGACGCCGTGAAATTTGAGACGGTTACGGTATTTCCTTTTTTCTTTGCTTCGGAGGGTAAAAGCGTCTTGAGACTTAAACGACGCCGTGAAATTTGAGACGGTTACGGTATTTCCTTTTTTCTTTGCTTCGGAGGGTAAAAGCGTTCAACGTTAACAAATCCGTATCAGATGTGCAAGTGATCAGCAACACAACACAAAGGATCTTGTTATCTTTTTTAACTGTGTTTGTTAAGTTACAGCTATCCAGTTAATTTATTTTCCTTTTGCATTAATTAAAAATTGGAAAGATCGGTAAACACAAAAGTCTTTCTTTCCTTTTTGGTAATAATTCGATTAATTATTTATTTTCAGTTATTATGTTATTATTTTTTATTTTGCTATAAGTTAGTTATTGATTGTATATCCCTTGTCAAAACAAAATATTGTATCATGGGGTTATGTTGTAATTTTTTAATTTTTTTGGTTATGTTGTAATTTAATGATACAGTATTCATGCAAGTTAGCCTCGCTTAATTTTCTGATGGACCTGGTGCAAGTTCTAACTTTTCAGTTCTGGCTCAAGGCGTTACCAAACTTGCAAGTTCTACTCTTTGGACAGCTCTCTTCTCCTGACCAAGTTACCAAGTTACTTTGTTAACGGAAAGCATCATTGTTCAAGGTAGAAGAAGATGGGCGTATTTATATGGGAGACTACAAGCATGCTTATTTTGGATATGAAGATACTCTGGATTTGCAATACGAAGGTCTGTTTATGGAGCAAGGGAAGGTACTTACTTCTTACAGTACTATTGATTCCTGAGTCCATTGGTCTTTTGGAGGCATTGATTGCGTTGAACTTGTCGAACAATGCCTTCACTGGACACATTCCTCTGTCTTTAGCAAATGTTACTGAGCTCGAGTCGCTAGACCTGTCAAGAAACCAACTCTCTAGGACTATTCCTAAAGAACTTGGGAGTCTCTCGTTTTTGTCATATGTAAGTGTGGCTCATAATCAGCTTAAAGGTGAAATACCACAAGGACCACAGTTTAGTGGGCAAGCTGAGTCATCATTTGAAAGGAATCCTGGTCTGTGTGGTCTTCCTCTCCCAAAAAGTTGCTTTGCATCACCAACACAGCAGCCTATGGAAGAAGATAAAGAAGAAGATGAAGAAATGTTAAACTGGAAAGGAGTGGTTATAGGGTATGGTCCTGGCTTGTTGTCAGGGCCGGTCCTGGGCTAAGCCTAATGAAACATTGGCTTTGAGTCCCCAAATTTTTTGAAAAAAGTTCCATGTATATAGGCCCCTAAAAAAATTTTTTAGGCCCCCAAATCCATATGAAATTTTTTTTAGGTGAAATTGTTAAAAATTGGCCTTAGGCCCCCCTTATTTTGAGAGCCGGCCCTGCTTGTTGTTTGGATTGGTAATAGCTCACGTTATTGCTTCATACAAGCCAAAGTGGTATGCTACTTGGTGCTGATAAGTGCAAGTAAATCACCAGTCTGGATTCAATATGGGACAGTTTTAGTTAAGTAATAATAATAATAATCATGTACGTAATACAGTATGTTGATATAAGAATGAGGTTTTCATTGAGATTCTTGAACATATTGGCCTGTTCAACTTCAACGACTTGTTGTCTTTTGGCCAAATTTACGAGCGACCCCTCAAGAAATCAACTCTCAAACAACACCAATAACACTTACTAAAAGGAATAAGTGTTAAACTAGAAAGCAGTGGTCCTTTGTGTGTTTCTTGGATTAGTAAAATATGGCAAAGACATTGCTACATACAAAGCCTGAGTGTCTTATCAAAAGTAATTGGTTCGTATAAATTCAGAAACCGTTCGTTTTTTTTGTTTGATCTTTGAATGCCATCAATTCCTTGATGGACTTGTAGTGTAGCAGTTCTATATCAAATCTAAAGCCTGATGATTTTTATATACGAACATGAAACAGAGGAGCAGAAAACAGAAAATTTGTTCAATTCTATTTTTTAAAGGATCGTTCTACTTACTCAAGTATCGATTGATCTACTTACTGAAAATGGAAACTTTCTCAAGTATCGATTGATCTACTTACTGAAAAACAAAAGATTACAGATCAAAATCCAATTTCGTTGATACGCATAAACAAATGAAGAAAAGAACAAAACTTGTACTTTAACAACAACAAACACAAAAAATATAGATTGTGAAAAGCATTCCTTACTGTTAGCTATTGAATGATTGAAATATAAAGTGGTGACTACACTAACTCTATTTTACCAACAAGAATATGACAACATTGTTGTGTTTATTTTATGTCCTAGATTTCTAGAGGGCCTCCTAGTGTTGTTGTTGATCTCTGATGTTGTTGTCAAACACAAACTCTACAAACTCCTTCGTGTTTTTGTCCTCGAGTATCATCTTAGTGTTATTGTTGATCTCTTATACTCTGACTCCAGTGTTGAAGAAGAACTGATGCGGAAGTGCAGATTTTCCTGTCCTTGTGCCGTGTGAGATGACCAAGCCTCTCCATGATTCTCCTCGTTTCAGGAGCTGTTGCGCTTATGGAAAAACGGATGAGTAAAGTGAGAGTATCCACACAGATTGACGTCTCTGCTTTAGCAGCTAGAAGTCCCTTCGCGTTGGCCACATCCGCTGATTTCTTGGCTATTTCGAACAGCTCCAACATATCCTTATCGTTCTTCTTGACAGCTGGCACAAATTTAGGGTTTTCAGAAAACTTTCAGAGTCGAGTGCTTCTTCTTCGTTATCTCTAGAGGCCTTGTTGTGACAGACTTGCAAACGTCACGAGGATTTTTCAGGTTTTTCGTAATCATAGATTTAGAGTTTTGAGAAAGTCTCACTGGTGGAGCCGATTTCTTCTTCGCCTGGACAGACCTCTCTGCTGCAAAAAACTCGCAACCGTTATCAGCATCACCCCTAGCCTTCTCTGTTACAGTCGCAATTTTCTTCGCCTGGACAGACGTCGCTGCTGCAAAAGACTTGCAACCATTATCATCATCAGCCCTAGCCTTCACTGTTTAATCGCAATTTTCTTCATCGTCTTCATCATGTTGTTGTTTCTCTCCTTTGTTGATTTCAGATTTGTGGAAGAGAATGAGTTTGGAAAAAAAGAGGCAACTTGTTGTAGCTAGGGTTTCACTCTGACAAGTGAAGTATGGAAATAAAGAGAGATAGATAGAATAGTGAATTATATTATATAGAGAGCGACGAAAAACGAAAAAATGGAAAACATGAATTAAACTTGGATCCCAAGTGTCCGTCATCATACATAATTTCCTTTTTTTCTTCGGTTGAAGGTGAAATCGTCAGATCAATAATTCAACGTTAACAAAATCAGGGCTCAACACAACACACATCTTGTTACAATCTTGTTATTTTCGTTAAATTATGTTTGTTACGTTACAGCTGTCCGCTTAATTTTCTTTTCTTTTTTTTTTGCATTTAACTGATATTCGAAATGTTCCGTAAACATAGTTAAGTTTTTTCTTCCTTTTGGTAAGAAGCCGATTAATTTATTTGCCTCATTTATTTATTTATTTATTTTCAGCTATTGCTATTTTTTCTTTAGTTGTTAGTTCCAGTTGCTAGAGCTTTTTAATCAACCATTCCCCGGAAAGAGAATTTGAAAATCCTGATAACCACGCATTATGAAAATTTGATGTGGTGTAGTGTGGATTTGAACTCGAATTTTTTTAGTGATCCACGGAACTCTTTGACCATCCGACCACAAAACGCATGAGCTTTTTCTTCGCCTGGACAGGCCTCGCTGTGAAAGACTTGCAACCATTATCACCATCAGCCCTGGCCTTTTCTGTTTAAATCGCAATTTTCTTCATCGTTCTTCATGTTGTTGTTTCTTTCCTTCGTTGGTTTTTTTAAAAGAGAATGAATTTGGAAAGAGGGAACCGTATATGGAATGTGTGTGTGAGAGAGAAAGAGACAGAATCACAGGTATTATATAGAGCGAAAACAAATAACTTGGTTAGCAAGCTTCCTAGACTTTCACTTAGACTCATCAACGAAGTATATCTTGGAAACGTCGTCGTACTCGTAGTGGTCTCTGTTGATACATAATTTCCTTTTTCTTCAACGGAGGGTAAGTGCGTCAGATCAATATTTCAACTTAACAAAATCACGATCATATATGTAACAGAATCAATATTAATTAATATATGTTTTTGTAAAAGAAAATAATATTAACATTCTCATTCAAGCTCAAAGTAGTATCTTCTGTAGTTTGTTTCCATCTCTTAATTGTTTCTTTATAAAAACTAAGGATGTACTAGAGAAAAAACTGAGCTACAATATGTATGTTTAAGTTCTCTGTATAAATGTAGAGATATACTTTTCGATTATAAGAAACATAAAACTTAATGGCAATTTTGGTAAAAGAAAGAGGTCTTTAACTGAAATCTCTGTTTTGCTTGCTGAATGTATTGGTAGATTGTTGAGAAAGAGACTTGTAGAATACAGCTTAAGTTCTTACATTATTCTTAAAATTAGCCTTGAGCTGAAGGTTTTATCTCGTCTTTCATCTTCCTGTTAAAACAATCTGCATCAACTGAACTGATACAGGGAATGCAGTTAAGCCACGTTATCAAGAGTCACAACAGAAAGAGACTATAAAAACAGAGACTGTTAACCTTTTTAGAATCATCAAAAAAGATCATAGAGTTTGTTAGAGTTTCTTCTTCCTTTTGTCTGTTGTTACTAAGATTTTCTTGTGAACTTTCCTGGAAAATCTCCTCATTGATGTTCTAGAGCCGTTTCTTCTTCTAAGCTCTTCACATATTGAGAGATGGATCTGTGTTTTATGAACATGTATCCATTGTTTTTTCTTTGATTTGGTGATATACAGAAATACCGTATCATGAACATAAGAGAGCCGCAGACTAAATAGGACTTCCCAAATATAACAATCTGTTCAGAATATTGGTAAACTAGTTTTATGAGATAATAGTGAAATAAATGTATGCACATGAAAACTCTCTCAGGTATTGTTATCTCAATTATAACACTATAATGCTTACAGAATCTTCGTATAACTTCGTCCAAGTCAAGTAAAGTTGCGTTGGGATGAGCACAATTTGATGTATGGTGTTGTAACATAGAAAGAAAAACATAGCAATATTCACTGTTTTGTCTCATATGAATTCTTCTGTCCTTGGTTTGCCACGTCGCCAGCTCTTCAAATTTTGAGCTTTGACTCTCTTCTCCAACTCTCAGACGAATTATTTCGAGTTGGTGTCTTTTATGCTTTCAAACTGATCTCCAAAAGGGTGAAACAATAGAGTCTGAGGTAAAGACAACACAAAGAGGAAGACATAACAAAAGAAAAAAGAGAAATCCTCATCCAAAAAAAATAATAATGAGGGTTGTGTATCAGCAACTTAAAATTGAGACGTCGCCTAAAATAATGATAGGTAGTTCTAGTCACATTTAGGTTAAAGTAGCTTCCAATGCAAGTAGGATCCTTCACGGGCTATGTAGGATTAGTATATATTATATGTGGTCACGTGTGACACTTAATGCAATAGCTTCAGCAGCTCTATTCCTTTTCCAAGAAACATAACTAAAACTCCAGAAGTCAAAATAGTTGAAGAGAAAAAAAATCTGAGATAAGCGTTTGGAACATGAGAAACAGGAATGCCTCTCTTGCTAGACCAACGCTGGATTCAGATATTACTTTCTTCTGATGCAAGTTTTCTGAGACTCTCCACAGCTCAAAACATTGTCTGAGGCTCTGGTAGAACATTCTGTATGAAGTCACTAGTGTGTGTTGCTGGATGTAACGTAACAAACTCATATATGTGAATATGTGATCTTGTTTATGCTTATTTTTCTGGTTGCTAAGTTAGTGGAACGTACTACAGATGGTAATTCAAACTTCTTTTAACTCCAACGGAAATTGTCAAACGTTAGGTGAACATTCAGCGTTATGTCTATGCCAAAAAAATATATATATACGAACATTAATAGAGATCCCACATTAATATCCATTCAATTATCCCAAAAGGTATCCTTTTGAGTTTATATCAGATAAAAATGAAAACTTTCTCAAGCATTGATTTACAACTGAAAAATCCAATTTCATAAACAGATAACAAGACAAATACAGATTGTGAAAGCAATTCGTTACAGTTAGCTTAGAGTAATTGAAATATAAAGTGGTAAATTTGCCAAAGAAGAATAAAACAACCGAAGTTGTTGTCAAATCACAAAGCCTATACTATCTTCCTTCGTGTTTCCTTGAGTCTAAGAGGGCATCTTAGTATTGTTGTTGATCTCTTATACTCTGACTCCAGTGTTGAAGAAGAACTGATGCGGAAGTGCAGATTTTCCTGTCTTTGTGCTTCGTGAGATGCCCAAGTCTCTCGATGATTCTCCTCGTTTCAGGAGCTGTTGGGCTTATGGGAAAACCGATGAGCAAAGAGAGAGTATCTACACAGATTGATGTCTCTGCTTTAGCCGCTAAAAGTCCCTTTGCGTTGGCCACATCCGCTGATTTCTTGGCTATTTCGAACAGTTCCAACGTATCCTTGTCGCTCTTCTTGACAGGTGGCACAAATTTAGGGTTTTCAGAAACTTGAGGAATAGACTGCATCGTCTTCGTCACCTCTAGAGGCCTTGATGTTGAAACAAACTTGCAAGGCTTTTTCAGTTGTTTCTTAATCACAGATTTAGGGTTTTGAGAAAGCTTCACTGATAGAGACGATTGCTTCTTCGCCTGGACAGGCCTCGCTGCAAAAGACTTGCAACCGTCATCATTAGCCCTACCCTTCTCTGTTGTCTTCATCATGTTGTTTCTCTCCTTTGTTGATTTGTGGAAGAGATGAATTTGGAAAAAAAGAGGCAACTGTTGCAGCTAGGGTTTCACTCTCGTAAATAAAGTATGGAAATAGAGAGAGAGATAGAAATCATGGAATATTGATTAGTGAATCGTCTTTTATAGAGAGCGTCGAATAACGAAAAAATGGAAAACAAGAATTTAACTTGGATCCCAAGTGTCTGTTATCACATAATTTCCTTTTTTCTTCGATGGAGGGTGAAAGCGTCAGATCAATAATTCAACGTTAACAAAATAAGTGCTCAAATATTTACGGAATAACCAACAACACACGATCTTGTTATCTTCGTTAACTTATGTTTGTTACGTTAGAGCTGTCCACTTAATTTTTTTTTCTTTTTTGCATTTAACTGAAATTTGAAATGTTCCGTAAACATAATTGAGTTTTTCTTCTTTTTGGTAAGAATTCGATTAATTTATTTGTCTAATTTATATTTCTTTAGTTTTCAGCTATTAGTTCGTTATTACTATTTTATTCTTAGCTATTAGTTAGGTTTTTTTTTAAATTTGTATATCCTGTCTAGGCCTGGGCGTTTTTACCCCATACCAAATTCTCTATCTAAACCTGAACCGAAAAAATTGAAACCGGATCCGAACCATTATATAAGAATATCCGAATGGGACTTGAGAACTTGATACTTTGGAGTATGGGTATAACCCGAACTGAATCGAAATCCAAACTTGGATCCGACTATATCCGAAATTAGTGAAATATGTTACTATTTTTATATATGTTAAAGAAATTTAGATGTTTTAGAATATTTTAAAATTTTAAAATTTTATTTTATTTGTTATTTTGAATAACTTTTAACTAGTGTATGTAGTTTGGTTTGTTTTTAGTTAGTTTTGTGAATAATTTAAATATTTGAGTATTTTTTTAACAATTTTTTAAATTTAAAAAAAAAAATATTTTTGAACGATTTTATACATTGGTTATAACCCGATCCCGAACCAAATTTAGAGGAACCGAACCGAACCCGAACCGATAATTAGTAAAACCCGAATGGGACTTATGCACATGGTACCGAAAATCTGAAAACCAAAATCAACCGAACCGAATCCGACGGGCCCCGAACGCCCAGGCCTAATCCTGTCTTTGTGAAAAGACTGTATCATGGGGTCATGTTTGTGCTAATTATGATGCAGTTTCCAAGTTTCCATGTAACCCTAAAGGAATGTGTAGAAAAAGAAGATTAAGCTAACCATTACCACTATGGTCGTGAATACTCTTGCGGTCTTACCACATGTGACATGTCCTCGTAATCCTGATTTTTTTTTTCTTTTTGGAAAATGAATCCTGATTTTTATTCGTATATTAGAATTTCTAAATTCAAGCATATATATTAGAATTCTTAAATATTATTTTACTAGGTGATTTTCTAGTGCTCATGCACGGGTATGAATATTCATAAAAGTAAAATTTTATAATAATTGATTGATATCTAGTTTTAGTTTTGAATAAATTTATATGTATAATTTATATTAATAAATATTATATTATTATAATTATACATATAACTTTGAATATACTATTGCCGGTTTAATTATTTTTGGATCAATAGTTGGTTTGGTTATTAATTTGGTATATTGGATAATATCTATTTTTCGAATTCAGCTATAAATTTTTTAAATATAATAGAACTTTGATTAATTTTCTTATTTTTCGGTTGGTTATTGTCTTAAATATGTAAATATACTATAGTTAAATTATGTATAAATTAATATATATTGTGTTTAAAATCAAATAAATAATAAGCTGCAGTGTTTGATTCAAAATTACATAAATGAATATAATGATAATATTTTGAAATCTCATGCATATATATAAATGCTAAAAAGAATTAGATTGTAATGGGTTAATATTTCTTTTTCCTTTTAACATGCTTCGAGTCAACCTCTAATTTATATGTATAAAATTAAATAGATTATTATTATTATTATTATTATTATAAAAAATTATATGTTCTTATTGTGGTTAGGTGTCTAATTCTGGATATAAATTAGATTAGTCGAGTCATTCATTTTTTGAGTATATTGAGTTAAACATATTTTTAAATTAAAATTGAAGTATAATTACTTTTTATTTTAGTTAAGTCAAATCAAGTTAGTTTTATTTATTGCTTAAATATACATGTATTTTCATAATATTTATTTACTCTTTATTTTAGTTAAATCAAATCAAATTAGTTTTATTTATCGCTTAAATATACATGTATTTTTATAATATTTATCAAATTATATGTTGATTTCTAAAAAATATTAGAAAGTAAAGTGTAACTGATAAATTTTTGGATGTTCATGAACATATATATTTTTATTATTTTTAAAATATATTTTATGTTATTTAAAAATATATATTAATGGGGATATTACTAGTTTGTGAACTTTCCTTTTTAATAAAGTCATATTATATACATGTATATTCGTTTTTAATTTTTAAAAAAAGTTAAGAAATATTTCCTTTTTATTATATATGTTATTTGGAAAAAAGTAAAAAAGAAACTAAATAAAAAAATAATCTTAAAATCTAAAAATTCATTAAGGGTATCTAAGTAATCAACCATCGCGAGAATTAACGTGAGCGCGACACGTAAGAAACTGACTTCTCAAATAATATTATAGAGATTAATTAGTGTTTTTAGTGTTAAATGAGAAATGTAAATATGTGTTTTTAATTATTTGGTAGGCGTTAACAGTTTTTTTTTGGTTTGGCAAAATTAGAAATTTAGATATGTGACACTATCATTGCTTAAATCGATCCAATTAAAAATTTGTAACAAAAAAAAAACAAAAGTTATCCTTTTTTTTGAACAAAAAAAAAAGTTATCCAATCAACTAGATTCTAAGGTATGTAAATTGTTTAAGCTCAAAAACTTATGAAGAACACATTCTATCAACAATTATTACAGCTTTGAAGTAGAGATTCTTGAACCCATTTGTCTGTTCAACTTCAACGTACGACTTGTTGTTTCTGGCCAACTTTACAGGCTGGGATCACTAGACCTGTAAAGAAACCAACTCTCAAACAATAGTACGAACAAATACTACTTGGACTCTGAGGTTCTTGATCGTTTCTTGGACATTAGCTACCGTCCAACACAACAACATAAGCAAAAAGACTAAAAGGAAGAAGTGTTGAACTGGAAAGCAGTGGTCCTTTTGTGTTTCTTGGATTAGCAATAATATGTCAAAGGCATTGCTTCATACAAGCCTGATGGTTTTTATATACGAACATGAAACAGAGGAGCAGAAAACAGAGAATTTTTTCAAGTCTACTTTTTAAAAGGATCATTCTTTGAGTTTATGACCAGGGCCGGCCCGGAGGGCAAGCCACCAAAGCATATTTTTTTTTTAGCTTTTGTATATATTAAGAATTTTGTTTGTATTTATATGTAAATATAATTTAGAGTTCTATTGATAATAATACTATTTGTAAGAGTTTCATCTTTGCTTATAAAACTTTTATTAATAAACATATTGAATAAATATTTTGTTAAATGATAATTATTTTGTAAATATAAAATTTTATACTAAGAAATTATTNCTAAGAAATTATTTTACTAAATTTTTTATTTGACAACACTGATTGTTTAAGATAACATTGACTGATATTGCCATGCAGTTAACTTGATATTATGTTTACCAATTATTATTAGAACTGAATTTGCTTATAATTTTAGTGTTATTTATATTATATATTGATATTATATATAAAACATAGTAAGACATGTTGATATTAGGTTGAGTTGGATTGTGTCTTTAGTGTTTTTTTTTGTTTGCATTTTATGTGTAATTTTTTGTAATTTAAAACAAACAAAAAAACACAATGTCAGAAAACAGCCATCGTTTGTCATTCACACGGACGCAAAATTATCATCCTGATTATGTTTTCGTTTGATGACGAAAAAAACAAAACTCAAAAATACATAACATGCAAATCTCTTTTAACAAAAGTTTTGCTTGGGGCATCCGAAAATGTTGGACCGGCACTGTTTATGACAGATAAAAATGGAAACTTTCTCAAGTATCGATTGATATACAACTGAAAAAAAAAATATTACAGATCAAAATCCAATTTCGGTGTTACGCATAAACAGATGAAGAAAAGAACAAAACTTGTACTTTAACAACAACAAACAAATAGATTGTGAAAAACATTCCTTACTGTTAGCTATTGAATGATTGAAACATAAAGTGGTGACTACATTAACTCTATTTTACCAACAAGAATACAACAATTGTCAAATCACAAAGCCTACTATTGTCCTTGAGTTTAAGAGGGCATTCATAAGCGTTGTTGATCTCTGATGCTCTGACTCCAATGTTGTAAAAGGGCAGATGCGGAAGTGCAGATTTTCCTGTCTTTGTGCCGTGTGAGATGCCCAAGCCTCTCCATGATTTTCCTCGTTTCAGGAGCTGTTGCGCTGATTGTGGGGAGATCGATGAGCAACAAGAGAGTATCTACACAGATTGACGTCTCTGCTTTAGCCGCGAGAAGTCCCTTCGCGTTGGCCACATCCGCTGATTTCTTGGCTATTTCGAACAGCTCCAACGTATCCTTATCCTTCTTATTCATCACGGCTGGCACAAATTTAGGGTTTCCAGTAACTTCAGGAATAGACTGCTTCTTCTTCGTTATCTCTAGAGGCCTTATTGAAACAGACTTGCAAAACTTGTCATGAGGCTTCTTCTTCAGGTTTTTCTTAATCAGAGATTTAGGGTTTTGAGAAAGTCTCATTGGTGGAGCCGATTGTTTCTTCGCCTGGACAAGCCTCGCTGCTAAAGACTTGCAACCATTATCATCATCAGCCCTAGCCTTTTCTGTTGAAATCGCAATTTTCTTCATCGTCCTCATGTTGTTGTTTCTTTCCTTCGTTGATTTTTTTTGCGAAGAGAATGAATTTGGAAAGAGGGAACCGTATCTAGGGCTTCACTCTCGAAATCAAAATTTGGAATATGTGTGTGTGTGTGTGAGAGAGAGAGAGAGAGAGAGAGAGAGAGAGAGAGAGAGAGAGTCACATGTATTATATAGAGCGGAAACAAATAACTTGATTACCAAGACTTTCACTCAGACACATCGACGAAGTATAAACTTCAAAACGACGTCATAGTGCTGTTGATACATAATTTCCTTTTTTCTTTGACGGAGGGTAAGTGCGTCAGATCAATATCTCAACGTTAACAAAATCTCGATCAAATATGTAACAGAATCAATATTAATACATTTTTGTAAGAGAAAAAAATATTAATCAATATTTAATATTCTCATTTAAAAAAAAATAGAGGATATAACAGAGAAAAAACAGAGCTACAAGATGTATGTTTAAGTTTTCTGTATAAACTTAGAGAGTTTTAAGAAACAGATAGATCAGATATGTATCTCTGTTTGGTATATGTAGTGTCTTTATCTTTGCCTCTCTCTCAATCTCTCTCGTGCAAAGCTAGTTGAATGAAAACATTACAATAGAACCATCGCAGCTTTGAGAAAAGTAGACATAGAAACACATGAATCCAATATGGCTAAAACAACAAAGCAACCCGAGACTCTTACTTAACCGGTTTTAGAACCAGTCAGACCAGATTGAGATTAACTCATATGAACCGGGTAGACTATGCTGTACGTCATCATAGCAATTTGCAAAAGTCGAGAAAGACCAACGCAAACACAAGGTTCAAGCCAGGTTCAAATAAATGGTTGCCAAGGTCAGTGTTGGTACCTGTATTGAATGTATTGAATGGTTGCCAAGAATCTTTTAGATCAAACTTTCTGGTATATAATTTTAAAAAAGATGCAATATAAAAAAATCTTAAAATAGATAAAATCTTCGCTGGAAGAATGTCCTAAACATTTTAAACAAACATAAAAGTAAATGAAATATGCATTTAAGTACAAAGGCCAACACTACAAGAAAACTAAGCATTTACTAGGAAATTTTACTAGGAAAATTCTTCCTCGTAAAGTTACTAAGTATTTACTAGGATCTTACGAGGAAAGCAAATTTCCTCGTAAGCTCCTCGAAAACTTACGAGGAAATACTTTCCTCGTAAGACTATAGTAAATTTACGAGGATCTTACGAGGAAAAAGTACTTTTCCTCGTAATGCCGTAGTAAACACTTTCCTCGTAAAGGCGTAGTAAAATATTACTACGAAATTAGGAGGAAACATTTTCTTACTACGAAATTAGGAGGAAATAGATAGGAAATATCGAATTTAAATAAAACACATGTTTTGTACCTACTTTTCCTAGTAATTTCCTAGTAAATGCTCAGATTCGAAAATTTCTATAAATACCACCTTATGTGATTCATTTGAAACACACCAAAAAAAAATCAGATATAAACTTGATCAAACACAAAAAAATGTCCGGTCCGGGAAATATTTTCGAGTTGCGGCAGTGGATGTATTCACACAGAGATAATAACGGGAGAATGACGAACGAATTTCTTGAAGGGTTGGAGACGTTCATGCATCAAGCAGATTCTACACCACTCATGCAGGAAAGTGGTAAGATGTTCTGTCCTTGTCGGAAATGCTGCAATAGCAAATTAGGCCCTCGTGAAAATGTTTGGAAGCATTTAATAAATAGAGGTTTCATGCCATATTATTATATTTGGTATCAACATGGAGA